GCGATGAGGGCCGCAGGGAGCGGGGCGCGTTTTCGTTGTGGGACGAAGAACCACGTGACGCTCAGGGAAGAGTCAAACAAATCCGGCACCCCGGATCTAATTAATACCAACGGCTGCATCTCTGTGGGGGGATCTCCGCTATCAGAACAGCCTCTCTTAGCGCTAATAGAATCGCGTCCCGTCTCTCATATCATGTTTGTGAAATAGCCGACTCGACCAGGAAGGGCGATGTCCTACGGAACGAACGACGAGAACTCGACAAGAATTTCTTTGTCCTGGTCCTGGCTCTCCCACTCGCCAAAAAAGGAGCCACAGACGGAGAGAACAACAGACAAGACCGCCTTGTCTTCCCTCAAACCCTCAAAGAAAGGCCCTTGTATTGTGACAATGGAAGACACACATGGGATGCCTTTGTTGTCTATGAAAAGACTCTCCTCCCCATCTACTAGAGTATCTATCTACAGTCCCAAAGGACTCCTTTTCTTTCGCATCCAACCCCCTCCCCCCCCTTTTTTTTATCGTACATGTAGGTTTTCTCCATCCATCCATCCGTGCTTGCTTTGCAACCTCCAGATCCGCCAACACGTACACTCACACACACACCCACATTCATACCTCTCTCTCCTTCTCTATTTCCAAAGATCTCTCTATCCCCAAGCAAAAAAGACAAACAAAAGCCCAGAACCTGAAGACCACTCACAATCATGCCTTTTCGCTTCTCTGAGCTCGCAAAGAGAGGTAAGTCTGTGTCCAAGTCCGGAGCGTTTGAAGAAGAAGAAGAAGTCGCAGCAAGACCTATGACCACGGCGCGCAGCTCCTACGCGTACAGTGACTACGTCAGTGAGTACATCAACGACTATACCAGTGAGTACGCATACGATGTCCGCGACTCAAAGCCAAAGTCGAACTCAAGTGGTCTTCCACAGTCCGCCGTGTCACAGCGAGTAGGTCCAAGACGACCAGATCGGACCGACACTCCCGCCCCAGCCAGCATCTACTACGACAACGGCACGGGCGTCCTCCACGCCAACTTCGTCCGCGACCAGAGCCTGCCGCCGCACGTGCGCACGACGGCGCAACTGGCCGAGTTCATCAGGACGCGCGAGGACAGCAGCAGCGGCTTGGAGGACCGGGGAGTAGCACCACCACCCGCATCCTTCTTCTCCACGTCCTCTTCGTCGTGTTATTCTTCGCATTCATCATCGTCGTCGTCGTCGTCCAACTCTAACCCTCCCTCTCCGAGTCAATCTACCGGACCCATGTACCACCATGCGCCAGTGTCAAGATCTCATGAACGTATTCGAGTGACAGCAGCAGCGGCGGCGGCGGCGGCGGGAATTCTAATGCGACATCACCACGTCGCGCGACCCACCGTCCGCGTCCGCGTCCTACCCGGCGCGACACGCACGCATAGGTACCAAGGGTTCTGGCTCAGACGGGGGACGATGCGCAAGACCAACAACTCCGAGACCGAGTCTGGCAAGGAGAAAGGCGGAAAAAAGCGGGCCGAGAAATCAAGGAGGTGAGAATGACGAAAGGTAAGAACAACAATGAAAGGTCAGAAAGGTGAGAAAGAAAAGAAAGAAAAAAAAAAGAAACAGCCGCTGTGGTAGGTAGGTGGATGGGTGATTGGGAGACCAGGAACAGGTACAGGTACAGGTACAGGTACAGGTACAGACACAGGTAAGGGAGATGTAGAATCGAGTGTTCTCGTCTCGTCTCGTCTCGTCCTTTTGTATCAAAGCCTGAAATTCACTACCTTGTATGTATCAGGGACCAGGTATCTTGTTGACCTCGTTGAAATAGTAACGAATATACAAGTCAAAATAAACCATATCCCACGCTCACGCGTTGACCGTCAAAAACAGCACTGCAATGATTCCCACATGCTCTTTTCTGAAAATCTTTCCCCTTTTGTCTTTTTATCTCTCATCTCACATTTTGTAAATGTGATAATCAAATCGAAAAGGGAGATCAAATCTCTGCCTCTACCTCCGCCTCCGCCTCCGCCTCTGACCGGTTCTCAAGGCCGAGGATGAGCCAGTGGATATGTAGCCCTTTTTCCCACCCAGGGCTGTTGTCAACGTACCTTTGAAGCACTGCCAAACCTCCATTCGTGCTGGTGGGAGTCTTTCTTTCGCCGACATCCCAATAGCCAACTCGGTGTGCTCTGGCCTGAAAATTGAATATTCCAAGATTATTGAATGACTTTTCTGACCTCTCATCAGTCCCATATCTTATCCTCACTTTCCCCTTTCTACGCTGTTGCGCTATGCCCCGGTTCACGGCTGATCTCGTCGTAGTTCTCGCGTCGTGCACATGGCATTGGGCGAACGCTTATAGCATAGGTTTGATGTCGTCCGCAACCTTGAAAGGCGCCTCGGTCTTGGCCTTGATCTCCTCAACGGTAACTCCGTCCGCGAGTTCAATAAGCGTCAGGCCGTGGGTAAAGTCCACATCGAAGACGCACTGGAGGCACAAAACCAGGTCAGCATATGTTTCAACTCGCCTTTTATCCCCAGCCTTGTTTCAATACGAGAGAGAGACTCACCAATTCCGTAATAATTCTCGAGACACACGCTCTTCCAGTAAGAGGGAACTCGCACTGTTTCAGGATCTTGGGATTCCCCTTCTTGTCCGTGTGCTCCATCAACGCCACCACCCTGGTCTTCTCTGGATTGCTCACCAAATCCATTGCTCCGCCAAAGCCCTTGACCTTGCCAGGCAACATCCAGTTGGCCAGATCACCCTTGGCCGAAACCTGCATGGCACCCAGCATAGACATGTTGATGCGTCCAGAGCGGATCATGCCGAATGACTCCTCTGAGCCAAAGCACGACGCGCCTGGGAGCAAAGTGACGGTTTCCTTGCCAGCGTTGATAAGATCGGGGTCTTCCTCGCCCTTCAGTGGGTACGGGCCCAGGCCGAGGATGCCGTTCTCCGATTGTAGCTGAACTTCAACTGAAGAATCCACAAAGGACGGGGCCAGCATAGGCATACCAATCCCCAAGTTGGCGTACATGCCGTTCTGGAACTCCTTGGCGGCGCGTCGCACAATCCGCTCGCGCTTCGATGCGGCATCGCCTTTTCCAAGGCTGTCTTTGACATCGGCGCCCTCTTCTTTGCGGTTGACGTATTTCTCAATCTTTTTCTCGGCCGTCGCTTGGACGACTTTGCTCACATATATGCCCGGCAAGTGCACCGAAACCGGATCAATCTCGCCGACCTCGACGATATGCTCAGCTTCCACAATGGTGACCTTGGCATTCCGGCCCATGGCACCGTTGAAGTTGTTTGCGGCAAGACGGAATTGGCAGTTCCCGAGCTTGTCGGCCTTGTATGCTTTCACAAATGCGTAGTCACCTGCAATCGCTTCTTCCATGACATAGGACTTGCCATTGAACACCTTGACGTCTCTGGGTTTTCCGAACTGTGCAATACTGCCGTCCTTGTTGTGTCGCAGAGGGATCTCCCCCGTCTGCACGACCGTACCAAACGCAGCTGGTGTATAGAATGCCGGAATTCCTTTGCCTCCAGCCGCACAACGTTCAGCCAGAGTACCCTGGGGTGTCAGTTCCAGCTCCATCTCTCCCGTCAAGTACATCTGCTCGAGCACTTTGTTCTCGCCAACATAGCTGGCAATCATTTTCCTAACTTGCTTGGTCTCCAAGAGCTGGCCGAGACCAGCCCCTGGAATACCGGCATTGTTGGAGACCGCGGTAAGGCCGGTAATGGATGGTGTTTTCGCGACCTCGTTGATCAGCGTGTCTGGCACACCGCAGAGACCAAAGCCACCACATAGGAGGGTAGAGTTGGACTTCATGTCCTTGATGGCTTCAGCGGCCGAGGGGACGACCTTGTTGATTTCATGGCGGCGCAGGGTCGACGAGAACGAGCGGGCGAAGAGGAGGTTTTGCTGTAGATGATCGAATCAGTCGGACTGTCCTTGGACAATGGCATGGTGTTTCGTCGTGGTTACACTCACCTTCCGTTGGTCGCGGGTAAAGTACCTCGCGGTTCTCCAACCTCGAGATGCTTGTGAAGGAATGCGGAGAGAGGACTCGAGGAAGGACGCCATGATCACGGTTTGGGCTCTCTTTCACTTCTCTGCAGAGAGATGCAGCTAAGCACTCGCAGATGTCCTGGGGAAGAAGCTGAGCAAAATCACACAACAAGGAACGGGACAACCAAGACAGGAGCAACAACGGGGGAATAACAGTGAAAAGGATTGGAAAAGCCGACGTGCTGGGCAAGTCGGGCTGTTTAAAGCGGAGATGGCATGGACGACGCGGGATCGGTAAAGCACCCCGGAATGATTACCGCAGGATGAAGGAAGAGCACGGTACGGATCCGATGGAGAAGGACGAGGAGAAAATTATTGTGTACGGACAGATTAGCCACGCGGAACGCCAGGGAACGAGGGGAGTCCCCGGGTGCCAAGCAAATCCAAGTGCCAGGGGAGCTGCTTAGGTAGAAGTAGGCGCTTACCCAGGTAGGCTAGGTGGCCTTTCCGAAGCCCCTAAGCAACCCGGATCCGGGGCCGTGTCTTTCATTCTGGGCACCATGGGCAGCCACCAGCTGAGGTCATAAGCTCGCCCTTGTGCGAGGTACCGAGTTACTTGTACACTGCCAGTCTTTTTCCGAGAAGACCCGGAGAAGCCCCCTTCCGATGCAATAAGCGGCGAGGCCAGGATTTGCTGAGCAAGAAATGACATTCACCAACAGAGCAATTCTCTAGATATCGTCACATCACCATTGTGCAGAAACATATCTCATCAAGGGGCATCATTGAAATAGTCGTGACACTTTGCGAGATGTATTTACCGACATGCCTAATATAGAACAAATTCCACCAAATCGTGCATATACCACAGGCTTTTTACAGAGGACCAAAAACTCGCCAACGCCATGCTCTTCGTGTGGACGTAATGTCCAAGATGCAATTTCATTATACAGTCAGATAAAGCAATTCCCCAAACCACCCACCATGGGATGAAGTCTTATCCTTCATCATCCATACTCATCTCGTCCGATGAGTCACTGTTGTCATCGTTGGCAAAGCCTGTATCGGGTTCATTGGAAGCGACGCTCCAACTCGCTCCCGCAGTGGCAGCAAGGCTACCGCTCGTCCGGCCCGGCTCATTTCTGGCACCTGGAAGCGGAATCCTGGCTCGTGCGGCTTCCAACACTCCCAATGAAGAACTTGCCACCGAAGCCTCGTCGTCGCCAACTTGTCGTTCATTTGAACTCGACGACCACTGCCATAGAAACCCAGCCGGTGCCGGAGAATATTCCGCCTCCGAAGACTCATTGCTGTCGTCGTCGTCGTAGTAACCTTTCTCTGCACCAGATGAGGAGCTTGTTGTGAAGAAAACGTAGCTTGGAGGTGGCAAACGCGAAGGTTGTAAACTCAACTCCCTGCAATTGGCAACTTCGTAGTCATATATGGCAGGCCGCTTCTGTCGGATTGTCCTCTTGCCGCCGCTACTGTCAAGCTTCCGCCGCTTTCTTGCGATCTGGACATCGAGCGCAAAGTTATCTTCAGGTCGCACACCCCCAAGACCTGAAGCTTCAAACTCTAACGGCACTGTCTCGTCCTCGCCTGAAGACTTGATGGGTTCAAGCGGTAAGTCTATATCTGGACAGTTCTGAGGCCACGTGTTGCGTGCTGGTGGCCAAGGGGAAAGGAAATAACATGCTTTAGCATCCCGTAGGGAGTCGTCCAACGCGGAGTGCCTCTTCTCAATGCCGAGAACATCTCGGGCTCCTGTAAAACCGCTCAATCTGACGTTGGTGGGGGCTTTGTCACCACTGAGATCTGTGAAGAAGAAAGGGTTGCTGAAGAACGTCATGTACCCATCATAGGCATCCTCTTTGGGTTTGATGCTGGAGCGGCTGAACGCGCGGACCAGGCTAGCAGAATTGGGTGACTTATCCTCATGCGAACTCGATGAATCCAGGTATGAGTTTTTGGCCTTCAGAAACGTCCTCTTCCCTTGAAATACAATAGGTTTATATTCAAACGCAGAGGTCGACTTGGACAGGGTTTTTGGTGGCTGGATTGCATGATTCGAAGATGTCGTTGTAGAGTTCACCAAGCGGGAGGTACCACTTGTCTTTCCCTGCAGGACTTTGTCATCTGAAAGGGACATGGAGTTCGAGGGTTCGTTAAGTGTGCTAGTCGCGCTCCTGCCACTTTGGCGTCCGGCATCGTCGCCAGTATCGTCCGACGTGCGTTGGGGTGGACCCTCGGGGCTTGCTTGGTAACCATATTCGACTTGCGGGGTGCGCCCGATCCACCGTAATTTATGCCCGTCTTTCGAAAGCTCGAACTTGGTGCTCAGCTGTTTTACGGCTTTACGTACAAAGGCAGGCGTAACATTGAGCGTGTGGAGCTGAGCCATGCTGACAAGCAAATTCAGATACAACCAGGGTTGTTCTTTGCTGTCGGTATCGTCATCAAATTGCGGCGACGACATGCCTAGATGTCGAATATACTCGATATTGTCTGCGGCGACTTGCGCACGATGGATGTCAAGATCCAAAGGTCGAGTGGGCCGTTGGTCTGGGGACCCGGGAGATTCCGAGACCGGCATGCTTCTCACTTCCCCAGAGGACTGTTCGGATCCGGACTGATTCCATTGCGGGTGACCACTGGCCTCTATGGCGTCGAAATTGAACCTGGAGTCGTGAGGGAGGATGTGAGCTTCACGAGTTCCCTCCACTCTCGATGCTCGATTCAGTCGCTGACCCTCGCGCCGATCAGCCTTGGCGGCTGATCGAGAAATCTTCTGTTGCTGAACAGGCAAGCTGTGTTCACCAGGCGCAGCCCTCTTTCCTGTGAAGAGCTCTTCTAAACGTTGCACCACCAACACCATCTTAGCATTCTCACTGACAGAGACAGTCTCGCGCGGGAACAGTGAATCTGGAATATCGTGCAGATAGCTTTCGATGTCGGATTCCTTTTTGCTTTTCGACACAGGTTCGCGGAGTCTGAGACCGCTAGACCGCGAAGTTGATTGCATCCCGGAGTTTGAGATAGAGGCATAACCCGAGTCTGTAGCATTAGGATCTTGCAGGCCCTTCACTGCCGGTACGGCGGCATACCCAGCACTTGAGGCGGATTTTTCCATGGGACCTGATGAGCTTGGTTGCGATGCAGAATCTCCATTGAGGCCAGTAGCAAACTTTTTCAAAAGGTCTTCCAACTCCCTCTTCTTCTCGGCTGGTAGTCCGTGCAGGCGGACTTCAACCACTCTATCCGGGTTACTGCTGGTGGGACTCAACCGCGCCTGCCAATTCCTCAGGAGATGTTTCAACTTTTTGTTCTCCACAGTGAGGTCGTCAATGACCCCGCGAAGTTCATCATTCTCATTTTCATTCTCGTCTCTGGGTGGCGGGCCGAAACTCTCTGCATTGTGGGAACGCAGATTCTTTAACTGGTGGGAGCTGCCCTGATGGGCAAGATAGAAAGGCGAATCATCTATAGCACGTCAGCAACGACAGCAAGCCGCAAGCGCGAAAGCACTAGAGGATTTGCCTACTCTCTTGCGATGCCCTCTTGTCGCGGGAATCGACCACATTCTCGTTCTTGCTGGCAAACCATTTGGCTGCACTCTGGTCACTGCTCGAGTCACGACTTTCTCCTTGTGGAAGCGTCGGATGGAGTTCTTCCTCAACCGGCGACGGCTTTGTGTCTGCATCGTCGGGCCTGTGGTCAATCTTGACTTTTTTATTCTTCGGGAGCGATTTGGATTGAGACGGGTGGGCACGGCGAGGGTTGCTACTGGTTATGGAAGACAGCGCCCGCTTAGGTGACTGTGCCGATGACATTTGAGCGTCGTGCATGCTGCGACATAGCTCTCGCGCTGTGACGGAGGCTGTGTAGTCAATCAGATAGGTACGAGTGGTATCTTGGTGTCGTTTTTTCGTAGAGGTGTATGGTGGATCAAGGATGACCGTCCGGAGCAGGGGTTTTGTACCGCTCTCTTCGGATAGCCGTATTCGTTAGGGTTGGTTTCGGTGCGCACAAGGCTGCGGTAGACGAGATCGAAATTGTAAGGCGGCGAGGATGGTTTTGGTTGGTTTTACACAGCGTCGACGACGATCTGAGTGAGGTGAGAAACAAGAAGCCGAAAGCATGGTCATGCCAGGTAAAGGTATGGCGCTCGCCATTGTTGCTTGTCGCAGCCGCAGGTGGGCAGGTGGATGCGCGGTAATGGTAAGAAGGAAGTATTTTGTTTGGCTCGATCTCCAGAGCCTTGGAGAAAGGGTGGAAAAGGGCATACAGATCGGGCGCCACCATATGAAATCGCTGAAATCGCAGATGAAGCTCGAAACCAGTGCCAAGCGTCAGCACCTGACGAGTCCGGCGCCGGGCCGAAAAGGGATTTAGGGGTCTGCCATGGTCTGCCATGATCTGGACCTTGCAACGCGATCGGCCAAACTTCAACAGAACCTGGAACCTTCGAATTGTCCAATCGTCGATTTGGTCCCTCCTCTTACGGCATCAGTGATCGTCCTGTCACCAGCCTGGACTTGCTAGCTGAGACATGTCCGTTGTCGCCAGTCGCCGGCCAGAACGTTCGAGGTCGCGATGATCATGTTCGATGGAGTTATTTTTGCCAAAGGGTCTGCAGATAGTCTGGTGGCGACGACGGCGAGCTGATTCGGATCTGGACATTGTCAATGTTGGCAAAGATTAGGACTTCCTAAAACGGGACCCCCTTACCACCATGACCCGACACCTGCTGCTTCGCCGCGCCACTGAAAAATTTACCCAGACCCCATCGTCGATCCAGACATGGGCTCGTGCCACGTTCCCAACTTTGCGTGTGCATGGCCTGTTACCATGATCGACAGGGCATCGATGTAGCCGATCTATAGGCTGGACCCTTCACGAGTAGCTCGTCCGAGGGGGATTGAGTTCAACAAGTACCGTTGATGACGGCGGGAATGATGTAGGTGGGCATTGCGCAGCCAGCAAATCTTGTCACCTGTGTACATCACGTGTCTTTGTAGCCGATGGAACAACTATATTCCGCTTTAGTCTGGAAAAACTCATCTTGTCTTCAATCCCTTAGGGATGATGTCATTCTTCTGGCTCAGCACCCGCCGGCACGACTCAGGTATGCGACACTGCTCCACGAGCTCTACTTACAGCAGTACCTTGTATTCAGCATCCCCTCGCTCACCCAATCGTTTTTACTTGTAGGTACCTCCATCCTTGACTCTCTGCCATGTCCGCAGTGCACTTCTCTGGGCCGTGCTCACGTGGCTCTACTGCTCAAAACAAAGATTCCTCTGACTTGAAGATCACATTTGTCTCTCACACTCACTCAGTCAATCAGTCCACCGTCAGGCTCGCCGCTCGGGGCGATCAAGGCTGTTGAAAATGTCCATGCTTATCTAGCGCCCCTGGCAGCCAATTGGCAATAATATAAGCTCATGATGATGGCACTGTGACTGGGCGGTCAATCCCGCTTTCTTTGCCCATTACTACTCTGACATTTTTTTCTGGCCACTAAGCAGGTTACAATGATTGGACCACTGCGGTCGTCGGCCATTGAGCATTGCAGTAGCAATCAGCCATGTCGCCTTGTGTTGCTTGTTTGGTGCTTGCCGTCATACCCATCCTCACCTCCTATCACATCTCCATGTTACGGGAGATCGCCGTGATGGCGTCTTCGCCGCTTGACCTGTTATATACTCTTAGCTATTTTTCTTTCTTCGAGGAGTTTCACAGAAGCTCTAGCGGAGAGATTGAAGTTACTCTTGAGGTCTATCCTCGGAAGTCAACATGTCCGTCGCCAACGCAGGGATTATTGCCGCTGCCACCGTACCAGAGGCCGAAGATCCAAAGAAGGATGCTGAACTCAATAGCCCCAACGATCTCGATGAAGACAGGCCGGTCGCTCCAGATCAGTTTGATCCCAAGTATCAGACTTCAAAGTGGGAGCGCTGGGCCTATTAGTGAGTTCCTTCCACATCATACAAGGCTTTTCGATTGGCCATGATACTGTCAATGAGACGAGGGTTAACACATACCGCCAGTTGCTACTATATCGGCAATAATGGATTGACCCTCTTCAATTTTGCACCGACGTCATTTCAAGACCTGCTCTACGAGGCCGCTGGTGACAGCGAACGACTACAATTTCTGGGCGCCTACCGTACCATCAACAGCATCGTCTTACTTGCAAATGGCATATCCTTTGCCATTCAAGTAGTCTTATTTCTGCTGATTGGTAGTCTTGCTGATTATGGGAAATGGCGACCCTATGTCCTACTGTTCTGGTCGATTGTTTCCTTCGCGATAGGCTTTGGCTGGCTAGGAATACACACGCAAGACAAATGGCCAGCTGCAACGGGTATGTACATGACGGGGCTTATTTCCTATCAGATGTGCATCACCTTCTGGACAGCGGGTAAGCAACAGGACCAAATTCATACCCTTGTGGACGGTACTAACAAGATATTATCAAGCTTTTCCGGGGTTGGCACGGAACACGCCTGAGATGAGGGAGAAGGCGGTACAATATGAAAACCGTGAGATTAGTAGAGACGACTATGACTTTGCCGACATGATGGAGCGGAATCGCATATACAACGTCGCATTTATCATGCAGAGCGCTGGGGAAATCGTCATTCTTGCCGTGCTAGGTGAGTGTCCATTCGGACGGCGGGTGTCTGCCTTGTGTGAATTTCGCCTTTTCACAATGAAGGCTTGGAGTTTGCGACCTGCCGAGAAACCAATGTTGGTGAACGACGCTAATATTTTGTTTGTGGTAGTTGGAATATTGTTCGCTTTGAACGTCAACGCAAGTGCTGCAAACAATCTATGGGGCCTGTCGGTTCTCATTGCGTATGCGACTGGTGTCTGGATCGTGCTTGCGGTGCCCTGGTTCATCCTGGAGAAGAGACGACCTGGGCAGAAACTTCCCCCCGGAATGAACATCATCAGTGTTGGCTTTTGGAACATTTGGCGGGCCCTAGTCCAGATCTGGGAGTTGAAGCAGAGCTTGCTGTACCTTGTCGGTGAGTGCCTATGTCGTCTTCCACTGGTGAGAATTTGTCAAACTCATGCACAGATTATTAGGGTACTTCCTGCTCGGCGATTCTTTGAACACAACAGTCACGGTTATTGCGACTCTGCAAAACTCAGTCGTCTCGTACAATACGTTGACACTGACATACCTGCTCATTGTGGGAATAGCGGCTCAAGGTGCCGGGATTCTTGCTTATTGGCTCATCCAAAAGCGCTTCGGACTCAGCACCAAAACAATGTTTGACGCAGTCATGATTGGTATTTTGCTCCTTGACGGTTGGGGTATGATCGGAATATTTTCGCAATCATTCGGGTTCCACCACGAATGGGAATTCTGGGTATATCAAGCCTTCTACGGCCTGTTTGTGTGCCAGTGGTATGCATACTCGCAGACAATGATCAGCGAGGTCACTCCCCGCGGCAAAGGTAAAGCTTTTCGTTTCGTTCGTGGACATGTCTTCCAGCATCTCCGGGTTCGCTTATCGTCGGAGTGAGCTAACATGTGCTTATCCCAGAATTTTTGTTCTTCAGTCTCTACTCTATCATGGGGAAGACAAGCGCATTTATCGGCCCAATCGTCAGTAGCGCCATCATCGACGCGGATCCCAAGGGAAATAACAGCTTGCCCTTTTATTTCCTGTTTGGGCTCAGCGGGTTGAGTTTTCTGTTGTTGTTCTTCTTTGTGGACCTGAAGAAGAGCAGAAGGGAGCAAGAGAGGTTTTTGCAGAGGGAGGAAGCCGCCAAGCAACGACGCGCAAGTATCATCAGTCAGGGGAGACCGATTGACGACGAGGGAAGCCTTGATAGCGACAGAAAAGCCCCGAAGAGCGACCAACTTAAGTCGTGAACTTGACCCTCCGGGGGCCATATGTACCCAGCATGCGAGGGAAGAGATATGCACCTCTGGAACAGGCAGAGAGCCTTCCGGACGCGGATGAAAAGAGGATTATGGAAAGATTGCTGATGGTATCCTCAGTGATCTAGCAGCAGTTCCGCTCGTGACGAATGAGCGGATTCTTTGCCAGCTCAAAAATGGATGACTCGGTGGCCTGCCTCCAAGCCTGTCATACGAGTATATTCGCGACATGAGCCTGCATTTGGCCTTGTATCGCACCTCCTGACAGGCATCCCTCTTCGATGTCTCTGGAACAGGCGCCCTCTACGCGGATGATATCAAAGAGCGAAGGCTTGGCCGTGCATTTGTCAAAGGGCACCCAGGCCCTTTGGTGCATCACGCTTCCCTTTCGTCTTAAACTAACCTTGAATCTGCAGAATCACACGAACTCTCCTCAAACTACTGCACTTTAGCCACCATAAGCCCAGGGCTGAGACATGAAGGTGAGGACGTCTTGGTGGGAACAGTTCTGCTGTGACAGGGCGGCATCGATACCACGCTGGCAGCGCCCTTGGACGCGATGACTAACCCGAAATGGAAAGTCCTTCCTCTCAAGGTAACGACACGTGACCTGACCATTTTGTAGCGAAGATTTCGTGCTATACAAGGGTAATCAGTAAAAGGTTCGTATTTGTCCGAGGCGCAGCTCAGTCGTGTTGTGTTCACTATTACGACCAAACCTTGTTGCTGCAGCGTTTTGCTCGTAGCCTCCTTCCGCAACGTGTCATGTTGAACGAGCACGAGGAATAGCATCGACAAGCCGGCACGTACGGGCTTCCGGGTCAATGCACCAGGTAATCTGCTTTCCCTCTTGTGGCAAATAATAATCTTGTCTGCCTGCATTCGTACGTCGAGTTGGTTGTTGAGATAGAGTGACTCGACCATCTGACC